GATTTAAAGACCTACTGTAGGAAAACAGGAAACTTTAACAGAATACTTTGCATGTAATATACTAGGCACTTTAATTCACTTTATTGCTTTATAGAATTAATGGTTACCAGTGTATGGTGTGGAGCTATAAGTATACTATAACTATTGTACTGCATTATGTGACATAATTTATAATCATTACCTTCTACAGTATGTCAGGGGTCAGGAAACATTACTTTGAACAGGCTGACAAAAATGTCATATCCTTTTAAACATGCTGCATGCCAGGAATTGGAAGTTGAGGTGAATGCTAACATCTTTAATGAAAATGATTCTGAAAATGTTCTACTCCTATTATTTTCATATACACAAGGTGTTAGATCAGTCATTATTTTTATTCAGGCATTAAATTGACACCATATTCATAGTTCACATACAGACAGTAGGTGGAAAACAGTTTTCTTCACTCAAGAATTAAGATTATTCAACCTGATTCTTTCCATGCACTATGAAAACTTAAAATATTGACACATTTTATAACCCATATGTAACCAGTGTTGCAGGCATCACAAAATCTGTTTTTTTCTTGCAATCCACATTTTAAGAAGGTTTCCACATTTAAAGTGTTTTCAGACAAAATGCAGCATCTACTTGCAACAGCTCTTACATGTGTGCTAGGAATTGTTGACCCCTGTGCTGCATTGCAGAGGAAGTGTTTTGAACATATAGTCACTGAAGGGACTCGTTTCATCCACCACTGAAGGCAGTGCCCACCTGGGTCATGCACGGCTGCCCTATTACACAGCAGATCAGGTGTAGAAGTGTGAAATTGCTTTATAAATTTAATTAAGGGGGGAGACACAGAAGCTTTTATAGGTTTAGCTGGACCAATTTGCCATCTTCTCCCATCTCTTTAGATGCTGCTTTAAAGAGACCTAGAAAACACATCCAGGACCAAATCTGGAGCACCTGTTTTCCTGTTTTAGGAGACAGTCAACATGCACTTAGAAAAGATAGATCAGTGGCAGTGTTTTTCAGTGATGGTGCTGGTTTCAGAATTCATACTATAAGTATCAATTAATTGAAGAAACAAAAACAATGCCTTGGTTATTTGTCTTTTCATGAGTGTCCACATTAGAAACATTGATTTTCCAAGTATTAGTTTTCTGTGTTCAATTGTTATTAATGTGCTCATAACCTAATAAACCAATAAACAGCAAAAATGGACAGATGGCCTCAGACTTACAGTAATTCAACAAAATGAAAATGGTACACATCAAGCACACACAATATGAGAATTACAGTTTTAGGAAATTTAGGAACTAGGGCCTGAATTCAACCATATCATTATCCTGCCCATACAGGGTGCAGTGATATATCATTGACTTTTTGTTTAGTGTTAAGGATTAGTGGACAAGTCAAAGTTTGGAAAATTATCATACCTAAAGTATATACTGTAGCTTTATTATTGTATTTTTTTAAGAGGAGGAGAGTTATTTTCAAATACAAGACTGTCCAAATACAGTAGATTTGGAAAATGGATGCCCAGTGTCATAATATCATTTCTCATCTGTCTCATTAAAAAATCTGATAATTGTATAATCCACAACTAGCGTATGCATACATTATCAGCCTTTCAGTATAATTTACACTTTGCAGACTTGTAGCAGTCACAGGGTGTAATATGTGAACATGAGTTATTTTTACATGATCATTAAGTGAATTTCATCACCCAGTGGTTCTCAGTTCCCCTTCGGGGGAGGTTACTTGAACACCTCTCTTCACATTGTTTTTTTTTCTGTTTTTAAATGTATTGTTAAATGAGAAATGTTAGCCATGATAACTAGCTTCATGCAGTAACAGGATTATCTAAATGCTGGTACCTTTGACTATGATGTTGTGCATGTTTTTTTTTGTACAGATAACTTTTGTAGTGGTGTCAATGCAAGTCCACATTCATATATACAATGCCTGGATGCATTTTTGTTAATCTTGCAGTTTTATTATTTGCAAAGTTTAATGAACGATGTATCCCTAGATTTAATTTTTCATCCTCAGACTTATTTTGTAAAATACTAATGAGGGTGCGGAGATCAGCTTTGTTTCAGGAAATAAATGTAGACAATTATTTGATAGAGGTGACTGAAACAAACAGGAAACTGTAGTTACATTGTTTGCCTTATACTTATTATGGTGCTACCTTGTATTAGTTTTCAGCAATGTGTTTATATTGACAGTAATAGAAGGAAAATGACACCTCAAGTAGAAGTTGAAGAAACTCTGAAATGGTTCTTCCAGTAAACCTACAGTATGTGTTTCTGGAACATTGGGCACAGACGGTCTCCATTCACAAACTCAGTTGATTTAGAGCTGTTTTATTGTCACCAGACATACATAGTAAAAGACAGATTTAGAAAAAGATGCACTTTTCTGTTTCAGTCAAGGAAACCAGTGCAAATGGAATAATCAAGATGGATAGGTAGATGTTAATTATTTAAAACTTTCGTTAACATTTGATACCTGGATTTACTTTGACAAGTTTTAAATACCCATGGTATTTATTTTTAATATCCCTCTGTTGAAACTGAATGTACAAATAATGCATTTTCAAAAAGTAAAGTTTTGTTTTCTTTCATGCTGAACATGATCACAGATTTGGCTTATGGTACTCCTTATTTGTGCAGTTATCTTCAGATACTTTTAACCATCTTTACGGCTGAGGCAAGAGATACTATTCATGTAGCAAATGTTGGTGGCAGTGTAAGAATGATTAAAAAAAACCACCAAGCTAACAAGGAGCTTAAGATATCCATTGTAGAAATGTATACATTTCCTCATAATATAATTTGAATGCGTTAAAATTTTGTTTTGTTGCCTTGATGAGAAACTTAAAAAAGCCCTGTTAGTAATTGAATTAAAATTAAATAACCCTTTAGTTCTTCAATTAAATTATCTCCATTTCTTTAATTTTATATAATTTCTTTTAAGAAGAATCATACTTCTCACTCACAGTGGCATGACTGGTGACAGCTCTTGAGTCATGGGTTCAGTTTTGGCCTGGACTGCCTTCTGAGGGGGTTTTGCATGTTCTCTGAGAGCTCCAGTTTCCTCCCAAAAACATAATGGTTGGGTCAGTTATTTTCTCTACATTGCCTCATTATAAGTATACATGTGTGCCCAGCAATAGATTTCTTCCGGGGTGTCACCCTGACTTGTGGTTCTGGGATGGGGTTTCTGATCATGCATGGATTGTTTTCAAATCTCTCTGTTGATTTTAAAATTAAGAGGTCTGTGAGAAACAGAAATTAAGCATTTTAGCTCTTTTGTGTGTTGTATTTCACAAGCTAGAGAGAGAGTATAACTACTACAATATATAGCTACTATGAAAAATGATTCACAAATTAAAACACCTCTTTCTGATAGAACGTACATAAAATGTTTGTTCTTTCAATACAAATCCATGAAATGAAAATTGTAGAGTACATTCCAGAAACAGGATATCTGGTAAACAATGAGTGATGTAGCTTTTACTTCATTGATGGAACATTTTCGCTTAGGAATTAGAGCAAACCAATTACAGTTTTGAAAACTGGTAGTAAAATTGTGTCTACTTAGGTATTTGTACTGTATTTGAATAGTCCACAAACTTTGCATTTGCATACAAATTTACAATATTACCTGCATATGCTGAATTATTGTTAATTAATGTCACTTAATTAAAAAAAAAGTGAACATTCTTAAAGGTTGTTAACATTTTAGCTTGGTAAAATTTAATTTAAAGAACAGTACATGAGTATGTGTGAGATTTCTCTACTTTTGTAGAACATGGTGATTTGCAATGGTAAGATGTTTTATTTTCAGTTTTGCTCAGAGCTTTTCTTCAAATATGTTACGTGGATCCATACTGTGCCCTGTTGGTTGTTCTCTTACCTTTTGTAAAGTCTTCTTTTATGCCTTTATTGTGAAATCATATTTTAGTGTGCATTTTTTTCCAGGTTTGCCTGTCTGAACATCACACATATTAAATGTGGATACCATAGCAACCATAGGCAGAGAGAGTGATGAAGTAAGATGCCAACTCACAGCACTCAAAAATGATTTCCTAATTAAATATAAACATTGAAACACTCAATATTCTCAGCAAAGAATATTGCAATGCTACAAAGATAAACTGTAATCTTAAAAAATAAGGTAAAAAGATTTTGCTCTTTATTGCTCATCTTAAAAGCTCCTCATGCTTTTATTAATATTACTGATGGTAAATCTATTTCCTGGTAAATAATTATCATTTGTAATTTGTTGTAGGAGCAAAAGTGACAAAATCAAGAGAGCTATCTTAAAGTTCAGAAATTTATGTAATGCGGGAGTTTACATAGAAGAGAAAACTGCTAAATTGAGCGTAGTGCAAATATAATATAATATATGCTATCATGAGATGTGAGGGAGGATATGTGCAGTCTGAACCTATGCATTAGGCGGAAGTTGGTTGCAAAGTAGTTTGAAACATTGATGTTTTTATTCCATATTATTACTTGGTCAAGATGAATGAACAATTTGTATGATGTAGCATTTTATTCCATCTAAAAATTATGGAGTATCAGTGAAAAATTCAACATTAAAAAATTCAAGGTTATTTAAGTCAGGATTTGCTTAAATTTTATTATCAAATACATTATTGTAGATGTTGTTTAACCAAGCTCACTGTACCATTAATATAATATAAATGAAAATATTCAATTAGGATAATTTCAAAATGCTTTTCAAAAACTCCTTTAGGATATCAAAAAAGTCACGGCCTAACTAACTTTTTTTTAATTCTATTGTTCGAATAGCTGGTTTCATATAGCACAGATTGGCACAGTGTTTATAAAATTAAGAAATATTGTTTAATGAACATTCTGTGATCTTAATACATGTTAAGGCAAATATTTTTTAAATATTTAAATAAATATTTATTTTATAAGGTACATCTTTCTGTACCACATTGTTTGTTTCCTCACTGTTTTACTCTCTTCACACAGGGGGGCAACATCAGTTGTGTATCGATGTCGACAGAAAGGAACACAAAAGCCCTATGCTGTGAAAATGCTGAAGAAAACAGTAAGTCAACATAATGCCATGTTTGTTCGTTTCTGTAGACAGCACTTTGCTCATCTCCAGCAGTGTGATTCATCCATCAGAAAAGGGCCAATAAAGTACATCTCTGATTACTGATACCTGGGAATGAGAGGGCTTCATTGAAATGTAGTATAAAATTAAAGGTCAAAGTGAAACATTGCTCTTATTCTCTACCCATTCTTTATGTATGCACTTAATAAAATATTTGAGTTCTTGCCAACATAGGAATTGCTTCTGCAATACAGCTTCCTTCATTTCTTCATTTTTAAATAATTTTAACTCCAAAAAGGAACACAGTCTGGGCCAAGGATTAAATTTGGCCCTCTGGTACTGGAAGCATTTGCAATTGTTAAAGCATTACCAAATGGTCCAGACCACTTGATAAGGCAGTATTTGGATGCTATAAGCACCAGCCTCATTAAAATTATGCCAGGGGCACATACATTGCAATACTATACTTAATGAATAATGCATTTAATTTAATTCGGATTTTGGGTAATACGTGTTATGTAATTTACATTTCTTGATAAAAAGCAAGTGCAGAAACATTCTCTTACCTGCATATATTTTATAACTGTAACTGTTTTTATTCATACTCTATATCCATCCAAACATTTTCAAACAAATTTTCCAATTCAGTTGTTGTGGGGGGCAACTCTGGATTAGAGGAAGCAGTTAGAAAATGGCTAGATGGAAACTAAAAGAAGAACTGGCTCTTAGAGTGAGCTCCTGACTAACAGAGTTCCCTGTATAAAAAAAACTACCTGGTATGCTTCTTTACAAAAAAATGTCATTTGTCCATAAGAAAAGAGGTCTACCAGACTCACACTCTGTATGTCCTTGTCAAGTTTGTTTTCTGTTCAGCATTCTCCTCCGGTCCTTAGTCTTGCTTCAGTTTATGTTCTTTAGATCCTCTTTCTTACAGCGCTTTTCTCTTGTCTCATGTCTTCAGGTCCTTATGTTGTGCTTTCCAGCCTTGGGTCTAGCTGTGGTTGTTTTCCTTTTCTTTTAGCCTCAGGTCTTTGACTGTGGTCTGTTTCCCTCTGTCTGACTCAAAATAGAATAACAGCCACAACAAAACACAGAGTTTGGACTGCGGTAAACTTCTGTCTCTCTGCAGTGCTTCCCCAGCTTCTGGGACATCAGCTATCGGCTTGATAGTCAATATATATAGGCTTGAACAGGATGCACAGCTGTTCCCTGTTCCAGTAATTGTCTGTTGATGGCATCTTGCAAGCTAGCATTCTCTTACAGCCATCTTAGTACAGGCAAAAGTATCCACTAATTGTTTGACACTTCAGGAAAGTACTGCCCTCCAAGGATTGTGCCCCCTGTAGCATCACAGTGATATACGATCTGTTTTTATACTGGATGATATTCAACAACACTCTTATCACATTATTACAGAAGATGATGTCCCTTGGAACCTAGACAGTGTGAAATTCTATCTTGGTGGAAGCTCCAGTGTTTTGGCATAGGGTGTTTTTCTACTGTCTCGGGAGAGGTGCTGCATGGGTGTGAAGCTGCAGTAGTTTCAGTGATCAGAACACAGGAGGGGCAGATATGTACTCCTCACACCTTATCAATTTAACATTTTGAGTTAATAAATATTGGATTTTTCCAGTTCAGTTATGTTAGAATTTTTACTTAATCCCCTACTTTGAGTGGACAGCTCAAGATAAGACATATGCAAGACTTTAAGTGTTCATGAGTTGAGAAGGAATTTTAAAGGCTTTGTTAAACTCGCCCTGGCTCTTGCTCAGCGGGGCAAGTTAGCTTAAATATCACTGAAAAAGTTTATTCCATGCTGGAAAGAGAAGAAAAGAAACAGCATTTAGGCACACCTGAAGAAGCCGAAACATTGGGTTTTTCTTCTCTTTTCAGCAAGGAATAAACCTTTACTTGTTACTTTATGTATGATAACATTGCAACTATTTATTGTTACATGTGTAATTGCTAGGTAATTCTATACTTAATGTAAAGTCTAATTGCATATGCTACCATATTTATACAAAGCAAATCAGGCACTTAATTTGCATTTTTATATGATTGTAAAGATTGTGATTGTAAAATGGCAAAATAAAAAATGAAATTATTAAAAAATCTTCAGTGATGCACAGCTAGAATAATAGTAACTATAACCTTCTCTCAGGCATTGTAGCTCTAAGATGATATGAATGACTCATTGTGTCACATTCTACATAAATCATGGCATGTTTTTAATTAAATAAAAACTTATGTTTACCATCTCAGTAATTAGAACCTTTTAACCTTAAGGTGTACGAACTGAAATGAGTTGTGAAATCCTTTTTAGTTATGAGATTTAATTGTGAACTCCTGTTGTGTGTAAATGCATATTGTGAAATTGCCTTAATGTTTAACCTGAGCAGAAATGTTTCTTGAATGTGACGCATTGCACTCTTATTCAGTTATCAAAGGTAGAATTTTTTTGATAATTGTATTTTTTCTTGTGCATTCCATTTTTTCTATTTATTCCACTATTTGGAATAGTCAAACTACTAACCTAGGGAACATGAAAACTGTGGAGATTGCATCCCCTAAGACATGGACTGCAAAGTCCATTGGTTTCCTCTTAGCTCATGGCACAACCAGGAGAACATCATGTGAAGTTGGAGAATAGACAAAGCCTTCTCTCATTACTCCTGCTCCTACACATGTCTGCATGGAATGTCAAAAATGATCAAGTAACTTTTAGTGAACTGTGCAGCAACAAAATTGGAAACACTTGCTTAGTGATTCAAATTCTAGATTCCTGCAATCCATGCAGAAGCTTTTACCAGAAGACATGCTTGGCAACTCCACTTAATTGCATTTATCCGAATCCAGACAACATCCTAACGCTTGATGTTAACTCCATTAATTACAACCTGTATAACTTTCATTAGTGCCTAACCTCCTATAACTGGCCAGCCTTTATTACTTTCCATCTTTATTCTGCAATTGAAAATGTGTCAAGGCTGAGATACTGTATAAAGATCATTCACTGGTGCTGCATTATTTTAGGACATTCAGTAAATTCTTGGTTTTAATATTCTGTAGCTGATATTATTTAGTAGAACTTCATGCACAGAATAATCATGGAAACAAGAAAAAACTTCTGCAGGATAAAAAATTGAATGTCATGTTTAAGTGTATGGAGGTGATGCTTATAAAGCATTGCTTTGCTTAATTGCTAATGTAGAAAAAACTTTTAAAATTATACCAGAGATCTTATTTAATTTATGTTCTATTTTTCCACAGATTTTTTTTATTCCCTAAAATAACTTACAGAATTGTTGTTATGCTTAGCAGTTTACCTGATGCTACCTGAAACACTATACAATTCCTAAACAGGCCAAAAAGAGAACCAAACCTGTGACATAAATAAAAGAATATAAATTAAGACTAAACCTCCCCTTCTACAACATGGATACCCTAAAGTGAATGGGAATCTATCTCACTATTCTAAAGATGGATCACCAAGCTAGAACATTTTTAGTCTGAGGACTCCACAATACAGGAAATCTGTCACGACCACCAGGCAGTCAAGACCAAAGCGTAAGCGAGCTAATCAGACCCAGCAGCGGGTGATTATTAACAAACGCCGCCGCACGAGTTAAACCACCTGCGCACACTCATTGCGGTGCGCACTGCTATTTAAACCATCTTCACCTGCTTCCCACTGCTCGGTATTGAGTCTACTCCTTGAGAGC